CACTGATAAGATTCGAACCCAGGACCTGGTTATAAGTTTGGGCTGAGGACAAACACTCTCTAGCGACTACATTCGCTAATTATAGATATATTCTGAAAACAACTATCGAAGTATATTTGGATGACAGTAACGAGCAGTGGAACCCAGAATGCATATTTCATTCTATTTGGGATACATGTATGTACTGAATGTACTTGCATCTCCAGTGAAGAATGGTGTTCCCAGTTATACTCGAATACGGTATCTAAAGCTTTATCCATGTCATAAGAGACTGCTGCAAAATAATCAGTCCAAAGGAAATATAAGAATTAAAAGTACCCTTCACTGACACACTAGTAAACCTGATAAAAGATGGAAGGTTTGGTGTGAGGCTAGCAACCCTACCCCGTTATAAAAAGAATAACACTACTGCTAGTGAAAATTAAAAACTCAAGCCTAAAGCCGTGTATGTTCCACTCTGAATGACAAAGGAATAAAATAACAATAATAATAAATAATTTTCCTTTTAATTGAAGGTTTCCAATATGTGATTATGTATTTTGGGTTTACAGTCAGTCAGATGTATAAAACTTTACCATACTTAAGCATTTCACCTTATTGTAGAATGTAATCAAATAATTAAAGACCATGTTAATTTCTTTTCTTCAGACTCAGCAAGAATATTTAGTTAATATGATTGGGGCTAGAAATTTCACTTCTTCATTCATCCTAGAAAAAAAGGAACAAGATTCGGGTTCTATTCAACACCAATGTCAAGTTGGTCAGTCCTTCTATACGGGTCAGGAATTTGGCGTGTCACGAAAAGGATTTCCAACAACTGCCTTCGCTGGCTCCACAGTGAAGACGAAATGGCTGGCCAGAAAGAATTAGTAACAAGAGACTCTGTAGTGGAACAAACCAACCAAGAGCCGATCACACAACAAATATGTAGGAGAAAATGGAGATGGATTGTTCGGGCTTACACTGAGTAAAGAGGCGGTTGAATGACATCGCGCGCAATGCAGGCCATTGCTCGATTGGAAGGTGAATGGTAAGTGACGAGTGGGTCTCGGTGCTAGGATGATATGAAGGAGATCGTATGTGGGAGGGGGAGATGAGAGATTATGGGCAATCATGGGGTTAGCCAGCTGAAGTGGACGGTAGAAAACATAAGAAAGTGGAGATATGTTGTTGAAACCAACCCTATGTTCCACTCGGAACCCAAGGGAATAATAATAATACTCATCCTTCTTTCGTTCTATTGAGAAGATGGGAGAAAACATCCCATTTGTCTTGGTTATAGGAGTAATGACTTTCAGCTATTTGTGAATATATATATAGAATTTATGTGTAACATTTTCGCCAGTCCGTATTCAATAGAAGCCAACAATGAACACCTGTACTGCGTGAAACTTTACAGGCGAATGTGTCAAGTTCTTTACTGTATGCAAACATCAATCTAATCTGTCAGTCGATGTGGAATCAGTCATCACCACTTATTTGTGATGACAATTAACCTGTTTACTAGCACATCTATATTATAATGTATTCACACACAAATATACAAAAAGTGAATCACTACCTGTACAATCTCTTAATAATATGGATGGATATACAACATATTACAGAGGACTTTTTTCCTCTTTCTAGTCTCTGTCTAACCATCTGACTTAATTGCTCTTTTTTACCTTATCATTCTTTAACCTTATTTCTTTCGTCATCATCATCATCATCAGTATTATCACCAATATCCACTACTACTCCCATTGCTACAACTAGTTTCAATTCTCTTCAGTTTGAATTTCCCACATTTTTCTTATTGAACGTAGTTTTTTTATTTTTTATCTAAATAAACAAATTCAAGTTGATGTTCTGCTTTTCTTTCAAATCAACACTCACTTCATCGTTGCTGAACTTTTGTTTATATTAAATTATTCTCTTTTTCTCTTTTTTGTGAGTATATTAATCATGAAACTTTTTTTATTTTTTCATGTACCCCACCCCACCCCTGCCTTATTCATCCTTAAATGTCAACTCATTTATGTAGTTTGTTGAAACATGCAATTATGTATGTAGACCAGCTGAAATACATCCAGCACTTACCTATGTACACGCACATCCAACAAAGGTGGGTACATTCTGTGATAAGTGTGTATAGTCATGTTTGTTCACGAGTGTACAACAGTGTGAATAACAGTTTTAGGAGAAACAAACTGAGGTATTTTGAAATAATTCTGGAATGATAATCATCATCACTCTGTTAAATGTGTCCACTTCTTCTTCTTCTGTTATTATATCTCAGAAAACTAGTACAAATAATAATAATAATAAACAGTCTAATATTATCATGTTATATTTATGTATTTATTTTATTTATTCTATATATGTGGATAAACAGAGAACTTGATTGACAGTTCTCCCATTCCATGTGGTTTCATGTTTCATAATATTATTAATAGTAATAATAATAATAAATACACTTGGTAGATGGATAGATTATAGACAGATCATTATTAGTAGTGGTGTTATCTATACTTATACATATTCTGATAAATTTTCATATTCATTCACTTTCCGTTTTACATTTTTTTTAAACATACTTATGTAATCTTGTTGAATTGATGTTTTGCATTAGTTAAAAGCATAAAAATACCACAGAAATCAACTCCTTGCGCTTTGATTCCTTCTTTTCTCATTTCCTTTGACACAGTGAATAACATATACATGTACGTCGGCGGCACAGTGGTAGAATGCTCGCCACCAACAACCACTACCTCGATGTGGTTCGGGGTTCGATCCCTGGCCTGTCAGCCAGCCGGCCACCGACACACTCCTCGCTACATCGCTAAGCCAGTAATCAGACTAGTAAAGAGGGAAGGTTGAGTGGGCGTGAGGCTAGCAGCAACCCCATGCCATAAAAAGCAAAAAATAAACACCACTGCTACTGAAACTTCAATAAGCTCTCTATTTTCCACTGGGAACGTACAAGAGTAAAATAAATTAATAACATACATATCAATTTGAATGTACGTGTGGACACACATATACAGGAGGGAGGACTCATTTGATCTTTGCAAGTAAGGATTGGCTTCAGAGAATATTCCTAAATGGCTCCAAAAGCAAATAGAATCCCCAAAACCCACTAATGGTGAGAACAGATGACCTAGCTCCTCCATTTAGAAACATATTATAGAGAGAGGACAAAAAGTCGACGTCTACATATCTTTTAAACCTATCAATAAAAGGTGTTTGAGGCAGGGCACATCCTAAAGTTTGTGGAAGTCCTAGATAGCAATTAGGAAGTTTAAACCACCTCAGTGCATTCAAAACCAATTCATCATCACACTAAACCTCCCTTCCTTGGTAAACTTTGTTTTGGTACTAGCCAGGGTAGATGTACTATTACCTCCCTTCTTTGGTTTAGTTATCTTCATTGTTATTTTGACCTTCAGTATGTCCTTTTAACTTGACCTAAATTTATTTTCTCACTTATTAACTCTCTATTATTTTCATATACATATGTTCCTACGACAAGTCGTGTGTATGTATTATTATGCGTTATCACACCTCTACTGTGTTTCTATAACTCGATTGGAAATGTTGACTTTGCTTACTGAGTATATTATTAGCATTCTTTGACTTAGTTGGTGCTTAATAGTTGCTGTATTTTTTAATTTCAGTAATTTGTCTTTGATCTTGCCGATTTATCTATCTCTCCACCTTGAGTACACCTTGCTTGTATTGAATTTCTATGAACCATTAGGAATGAGATATCTTTAACACAGAGGTAGCTGGATAGTTGTCAGCTGAATTTTTCTCAACACAATTGTTAAGCCAATAAGTTAACCATATCTATAGTGTACTTTGAGTGGTGTTATGTGCTGAAATACTACTCACCTACTGCCTAGAATATACATCAAAACACTTAGAAATTTGGATGCACCTCACTGGTCACGACTTCTCATTAGAACTCCAGGATACTCCATCCTGTAGCTAGTTGTCACTAGCGAGTATCAGATTATTTGTCAAGAGTTGACCAGTGAGTTCCATCATGTCGGGAGTGAGGATGGAGTTCCCACCGATGACATCGGGTGGTAGTCGCACCATAAATCGAGAATTGTTAGAAGTTAGAATTCATGAACTGGCTGGCCACTGAATCGGGCGGGTTCGAGTGAGTGACTGAAAGGTATACGAGCTAGCTCGCCACCCAATTTGGTGGATGCCTGCTGCCTATGGTTCCCAAACAAGAATGGCGAAACAGCTGTCTGGTAGTACTCCATGTGGCTGGTTTTCAATGGTTCTCTAACTGATATCAACCAATCCGTGGTCAAACTCGAAAAACAAAATCAAATCCTTACAAATCAACTCTTAAAAAATTAATCTGATGCTTACTAGAGACAGCTAGTTGCAGGACGGAGTTTCCTGGAGTTCTAGTGAGAAGTCGTGTGACCAGTGAGGTGTATCCAGTCGGAATGTGAGGATGGATTTCCCGCCGATGACTTAGCAATGACTGGACACGGTTGTTTCGTATTTATCTGAGACTCTTCATCAGTACGCACCTTCTAGTTACCACGCTAACTTGTTGACCATTCATTCATTCTCTGGCAGAATTGAATACTTATCTACTCTTACGGAAATAGCTCATTTTAAACATACAAGTTGTTGCCTAAATAATTAAAACCCGTCTATAAAATGCATAAAGGTAACTAACTAACTGCATGGTATTTATATTAACTCACTGATTTGTACAAAAAAACAGATAGATAACGATTGTCTTGTGAATATTATATAAGATTCTGTAGATATTTGTACAATTCAATAAAATGCATTATCAATAAATCATCAGGAGAAAAACAAAAGCCGAAATGAAAGGAAAGCGATTGTTAATATGTAGCAATAACAATAAGAACAGCAACGTATATACGTATTTAGAGATGACAACGGAATAAATAAGCTACCACCTGAGACTACTAAAATGTAAACTCTATTCAATACAGTATTAGTAGTATTCACTAATTTCATTAGAACAGTAACAAAAAGAGAGGAAATCGTTTTGACATAAGTAAACTGAGCGAAGCAATCAAAAGAATTTTCATTGTTTCAATCGCTTGTGGAAATATGCAATTGCTTTTGTTTTCCAAATGGGTACTGGTGATTAGTGTGTGTCGCAGGGCGTGGTGGTGGTGGTGGTGAATGAACTGGATTTTGCATAACTATGAACAGAAGAGGGAGAAAAAAACAGTTGAGAAAACAAGATTAATCATCACTGAGATGATAAAAAGGAGTTTTGATTACATCGATTACATTATTATTATTATTATTATTATTATTATTATTATTATTATTATTATGTCATTAGTATATAACCAAGAAATACTTTCATCTGAAGAAGAAAATTGAAAACTGAAAGACGTTGTAAAGAGGCTTGCCATCACTGTTCACATTGAGTTGATGATGTTAGATGGTTGGATGCAATCGACCATAGGAAGCCTTCGATCTAGACCTAGGTTTCTTACTGGTTGGAACTCACCCACCATCAGTCAGAAAGGCGTATCTGCAACCACATTGAAGGAACAGCTCATGTCCCATCTAATATCATCAAATCAATGTGCACCGGGATGGTGAGTCAGTCAGTCACCTAGTGGCATGGTGGCCACATTGCAAACCTGACTGACAGATAGAATTCAGTCTGCACCAAATAGATAGGACTAGATGCACAAATAACACTAGTTACTGACTAGCGTCCAATCAAAAGTATCGAGTACAGTCAGTTTTACAGGAGGTTATTCGCGAGTTCGAATATCTGCTCAGTGCTGGTAACGTCTCTGACTCACTGGGTGACGCGGATTTGAGTTTCAGAAGGGAATTTGCAGTTAGACGCCTTTCTGACTGACTGGTGACTGGCAACTAGCACGAAACCTAGGTCTAGATCCAAGGCTTCCTATGGCCGATTGCCTCCAACCTCCTAATATCATGGAAAGTTTCAAATTCTTTCAGCTGACAAGAACGAAATATGACACTGTTTTGATTCTTACTCTCTAAAAGTTATGTGAAATGAGAAGAACATTTCAGATTAATATTGTAGGAAGGAGTATATTAGGATATTTTACCTGACAGATATTTTGTTCACCTTCGTAAAAATGACAGTACATTTTGATTATTGCTTTTACTTGAAGCAAAAATTTTTAAGTGTTACAAAAGTTTTGCATGAAATAATCTCACATATATTTCTAATCTTCCAACTTTTCTAACATTTCTGGTTAAGTTGGACAAATAAAGATGTTTACATTTGCGAATTATAATGATCAACACTCAGTGTACATTCATCCGCCTTCAGTAATGGTAATTCAAATAGTAATGAAAGATACTTTCATTCTTATTCAGTGATATCATTTGATATAGTTGTGTCCTCACTCATGTTAATCCACTCACAAAAAACAAACAAACAAAGGAAAGTAATCTAGAGAGTGGCTGGAGGATTTCATCACGAGCGGACATCGGTTGGTTAGAGAACCACCATTTGAAAACCTGCCACAAGGAGTACTGGACAGCTATTTCCTCCGTCCTACTTTACAATTGGCTCTTCAGCAGTACGCACCCACCATAGTAGAGTTCGAATCCAGCACCTTCTGGTTACAAGGCGAAGTGGTCACGCTGTGTCGTGCGTAAATTGGCAGAAGTTAGAATTCATGGGCCATTGGATCGGGTCCCAGTGGCCTAATCTTCTACGAGCTAGCTCGTAGCCTAGTAACCCGAAGGTGGTGGGTTCGAACCTAAGTGTGGTAGGTTGGGTGGGTGTGCATTGCTGAAGATCCAGTCCGGCCCAAGCACTAGGACGGAGGAAACAGATGTCTGGCAGTAATCAGTGTGGCTGGTTTCCCAATGGTGGTTCTCTAACCAACTGATGTCACTGCTCATGATGAAATCCTCCAATCCAAATAATTTAGGTATTTATTCTGTCGAAAAACTTACTTTTGTCATTGGGAATGTAGTTTTAATTCACAATTAATCTTCTCTCCAATTTTATTTCATTAATTTGATCATGATTCATCACTTGGACTAGTAGTAATCTGCTGATTGGAATAACTTTTATGCATGGACAAGGATCTTGCATATTGTTGTGTTTCTCTGTTCAGTAGATCTAAATTATTTGTACTGTTGTGAAATAAAATCGAAAAACTGTCATCTTTTTGAGCTAATGACTTTGAATATAATGGAGTGTTATTCACATGGGAAGGAGGTATGGCAAACTTTGGCATGCAAGATTTTGGCTGTTCATGCGATAAATGTTGGTGTGGTGTTGTTGAAGCGGATAATGACGACTGATTATGCTCTTGTGATTGTTGTAACTGGTGTTGTTGATAGTACAAGTAGAAGGCTGCTAGTGTGTTAGGCGAAAATAAAGATGACGAACCAGTAGAGAAATTGTTCATCAGCTGCTGACCAGTGTTAGTGGTAGAAGTTACACCACCAGTAACACCAGGAGGTGCTGTAAAATTTGAAAATGAAGATAATAAATTCTTTGATTTCCGATTCATACTGTCATCATGATTACCACTGAGACAATCAGAAGTTAAACTACCAACTTTAAGCTGATATGTGGATAATTCAGTAGGAGTTTTAAAAAAATGTTGAGACTGTAGATTTTTATTCCCTTGTGTTAACCAATTATCACACGAAGTGTTCTGTAGATCTAATGAATTCTTTTCATTTATTGATTCGGCATTAGAATGATTTGTCTTCTCATCCACCATATCTACGAGAGACCAAATTTTTCGTGTTTTCGATTTCTCCGAAGTAGGCATTGGCAAAGAACCGATGTTGCTGTTGTTGTAATCTAAATTTATGCGTTTCTTCGGTATGGTATCAATTTGATCACAGGGATCTGGAAAATTTCGCAATCTGCTAATCTTATTTCTATTCCCCTCTGTAATCAGATTTGTACAACCTTCTTTATTGAATAATTTACTACTACTCATTGAAAACTTTTCATAATTTTCTGAATGTTTACTAATTAAATAGTGTTTCAAACCTTGTAAACCAGAAATTGTCTGTAGATCATGTTCGTTGCTGAGTCGATTTTGATTATCAGCAGTCATCGTCGTCGTCGTAGTAGTAGTAGTAGAATTGTCGACAAAATCATTATCGTCATCACCATCACCATCTTCCACAGAATGTTCATCATCATGTTCAACATCCGATGAACAATCTGTACGTAGATTCCAAGTTACTTTATTCTCCTTTTTCAATCGTCTTCTTGCATTTGCAAACCATGTAGATACTTGAGTTAAACTCATTTTAGTAATTAATGCCAGCATAATTTTTTCACCCTTAGTTGGATAGGGATTTTTCCGATGTTCATTCAACCACGTTTTAAGCATACTTGTTGTTTCTCTTGTAGCATTTTTACGTCGATTAGTATTGGATAATTCTGCAGGACAACTGAAGAGAAAAATAAAAATACGTTTTAAGTAAATATCCTATCAACCAACTGTCAGTAGTAAAGTAAGCTTTACGGTGCAAATAACTTCGCTTTAAATCAATAGAATACTGATTATCAGTCTCAATAAATCGATTACTTTCCCTCTCTGTTAGCGTCGGTGGTTCAGTGGTAGAACGCTGGTTGACTATGCACGTGGCCCGGGGTTTGAGTCCCGGCTGGCCATCGATTCACCACTGTACCTCCCTTAGCTGGTTATAATGCCGATAAAGAGGTGAAGTTGAGCATGAGGTTAGCAACCCCACACTGTAACAAACCTGTA